TCCCGCAGCTGCACTGAAGTCGGTATACGACGCCTGACTTCTCCTGTTTAGGAATAGGGTCTTTCGGCCGCATAACTTGTTGTTGGATGGTGCAGGCAGGCTTGTGGGCAACTCCTATTCCAAAAGGCGCGACCCGAAATGTCAGGCTTGTAATAAACCTCTCCCGGTGAACGCTCTTCTTTCTTCTGATCTACCACCCGGGAATAGAATTTTCAGCAACGCAGTTTCCACTACCGCAATATCAGATTACAGTGAGAGCAGTTCCTACGTGAATATTTGGGAATACCATGGAGAACCCATTAAAGGAAGCCACTACAACATGACCCAGAATCGCGAGTCCTTTTTATCGTATAAATTATCTAATTTATGCAGAAGAAAATGACTAGATCACTGGAGCGGCAATTGTATTATTCTAAGCTTTTGGCTTCACACAAGAGGCCATCGTCAGAGAAATGGAATAAGGCAAGTGGTCTAATGTTATTTGTAACCCAGCTACGAGTAAATGGGTGTTGGGGGTGGGGGGTTGCATTCTTTATTGGTCCATGCTCACGTTGTCTCCTCGTGTCGCTTCTGCGCGCTTCTTTGGTTTGGCAGATTGCGTGTCTGCACACGAACTTGGCCATGCTTCTTAGCTGCGCGCACATAGCTAAATTAGAGGAACATGCCACCGTTTGCTGTTTTCACATTTCTTTGACGACAACCTTTTGTATGAAAGGGAAAGCTCAAAATAATATAATTGTCGTCCCAGTGATAACGTCTTTTTCTTATGTACAACAAGAACCTGGGGCACACGTATTTGCTTCTAATATATGTTTTGTTCTCTTCTCTGTTAGCTGAAGGGATTGGAGACCGCCATGGACTACATAAACGGTGGCATTTCGGCATACTTTGATGAAGATTTGAAATCACTGCTTCAGACGCAGATGAATCAGTTTCTGGACGAACTCAATCAAACTGCAGTTTCAGAGCTCTATCAGGGACTTAATCCGAAGACTTACCGACAACTGGCACCGCAAATTATTGATCAACTAGGAAGGCCGATGGATGGTTGGATGGCCTGGACCACTGAGATCAGCCGCAGCGGACAACAGCTTCTAGGTGCACTCTACGGAGAATGGCAGAGGCTTGGAAAGGCTACTACAGGATTCGTGTCTTTTTCGGCAGATATCATCCGTAATGACCTAGAACGAATTTCTAAAGAAATGCGTAAGTTACACGACCTACATAGAGCAATATCTCGCTAATTATGTCTTTTTTAAAATGCGAATAGTTGGAGATAAAAACTTGTGAGATTTTTCTGAAGTAAGCTGAGGGCTTTAGTAAAAGTTTCAGACGCAAACTAGTAGATGTCAGTTTTAGGTGAACTCGTTCTGGATTCATTGATGAACGTCCACCCGACCGCTAACGGAACGCATCAGTACCGCTCTGCCTGTGGTCTCGACAGAGGGCCTAGACAGCCGTAGCA